GAAGGCATCGTAAAAAACTTAAAAATAACAGAAGAACCATAATTTAAAGTTTAGGATCTGAAATTAGAGACAAAGTTATGTTATTTATCTTAAGGCTGAAGAAATATTACTTCAACCTTGTTCCCAGGGCCTTTTCCCGCCTAGGGGAAAAGGCCCCGGGAACGAGGTTGATATTACTTTATTACATTGGTCAAACGTAGGCTGTTGATGGCAGTGAAATGTTATTTATTTATTTACTCTGCTGGAAACGCAAATCAAAACCATATCCTGATACGGTTGTCGTAAAAGGACTAACCAATACGACAACAAGTCGAGTAAAACCGAGGCACGCACCAAAAGGAAATGAAAATTTTTTTTAAATGAAGGTTGATCAATTTGAAAATACCGTAATTTAAAGATAGGTTCTTTTCTTATCTTACAAAGCTTTCGTCGTGAATTAAAACCAAAATAAAAATCGAAACTTACGAGTACGAAGAAAAACTATTTTTAATCAGATCGCAAATATGTAAACAAAGAAAGAGTTAAAAAAAAAATACTGTCACCCTAGTGAAACGAAGCCTCTTAAATGCATCACTGAAACAAATGAAACTTCGACTTCACCTTAAGTCGTGAGAAAAATTTACAGCCCAAGATCAAACCAACTTCTTTAAAATTTTACATTGCACAGAACATTATATAGAGCAACTAGCTAACTACAAATTCCAGCTACAATTAACACTTCCACCACTTTCCATATTTAGAATAAATATGATGACCTTTATCTGCCGCTCGTTTTGAAACGCGTGAAAACAAATTAAACAAAAACTTTACACAGTTCGACTTCTCTTACAACAAACAATTCTCCTCTGTGCTTTAATTGCCAAACAGTTTCTTAACTGAGAGAGCTTTCCGGAGGTAACTTGAGGTTTTTATAACTGCATTGATTTTTCAACAATTTGTTTAAGAGACTCGAATCAATTTACAACATAAGAAAAAAATTAATAAGTTTAAAGTCAGTGGGTGCCGAATATTTTTTAAGTGGCTGACTGTTTTCATGCCAGAGACGTTTAACACTTTACGCCCTGACATCAGTATCTATATTCTCCATACATTTCCAGGGGTGCTGACAAGGAGAACCTGTGTAACAATCAAAGAATCTCAGATTGGCAATTATTTCCTTGACTTTCGTGCTCGTACTGAATGATTCAGCGGTATTACTTCAAGCAAAGATAAGATGCTGGTCACCTGGTCACTTTTGGGTTTAAAGGGTTACGTCGTCTAACATCACGCAAGACAAAAAAGTGTCTTGTGCAAAAAAAAAAAATAGGCCAAGAATCGCCGATGAATGGGATGGCGCGTTTTCGTTACCTGAGGAAGAGGTGGACCTCTTGTACTAGACTTTCGTGCTCGTAATGAATGATTCAGCGGTATTACTTCAAGGAAAGATAAGAACATTAAGAACCAACAAGGCAATAAACCAAGCACTCTGGAGTATCGGAGTATATGTTCTTTGGCCAGCTGTAGTGATAAAGAGATAACAAGTTAGGACCAAATCATTCACAACTTCCTGTTGTTTCCTTCTTCTTAGGCGGGGGGAGAGGGAAGGGGGATGAGGGA